AAATTCGTCTAACATAAGTAAAATGAGATATAGAAGAAATGAGTGTAAAACGAAAGACATAAAAACGAGGAAAAGATGCAATATACGTAATTGTTCAATTCGTAATTGGAGTCATATCGTTGTATAGTTGTATGGCGTATTGTTTTTATTGATATTTTGTTTTCGTAACAAAAACAAAACAATGGTAACAGTGTGGCAGCAATTGTGAATTGGACAAATACATACATATGTACAAAACAGACTGCAAATAAGTATTTTTTCCTTTATATCTGTTTAATATTTTGCTTTTTTTTGATATTTCAATATTACAGTGACTTTAAATTAACTCATTTTAATCTATCTTTTGGAGTTTTTTTTGAGTCTCTATAATTTATAGTTTAATAATTTATTTTTCTCTTAATATGTTATCAACACACAAACTCATATTCATCGAATTATCAAATATTTGTTTTTGGATTACATATTGCATTTTTTTAACACTCTTTTTATATTTTTCTTTTACATTGTATTATTAAAATTTAAATTTTTGTTTGTTCTTTTTATTTTGATCTTTGTTAATTTGAACATTATTAAAGTAGTTCGCATATAGCTGTAAGTTAGTTACTTTTGGTAATGAATTTAAAATTTTTTTATAAAATGATATTGGGAATAAATACATCAAATGCACAAATGTTAAGGGTAGTCAAATATAATTATGATTTCAGATAATTTGGGTCCGTTGATTGATAGTAGTCATTTAGAAAATAATTTAACCAGTGATTTTTTTAATGTGTGTCATCTTAATGCTCAGAGCTTGGTACCAAGATCAAATTCTATAAAATACGAAGAAATGAAGAATTTATTAGAGAATAGTTTATATGATGTTATCGGTGTAAGTGAAACATGGTACAAAGATTATATATCTGATGATACAATATCATTAAGTGGATATCAAATTTTCAGAAACGATAGACTTTGGTCTAGGGGAGGTGGCGTGTGTCTTTACATCTCGGACAAATTCAAATTCGGACAAATTGAGAGTCTATTTGTTGAGGTGAGTCTTGGAGGTACTGATAAAATAGTGGTTGGTATAGTTTATTTGCCACAGGGTAACTTTAGGCATGCTGAAGATTATCTGGGTGATGTAGCTTCGCGTTTTCCAAATCTAATTTTAATGGGCGATTTCAATACAAATTTGTTTGATACAACAAAAAGTCAAATAGTTAGAGATTTCTGTATAAGAGCAGGATTATACATAATATACATAATTGTTTACCAACACATTTCACTGATAACCTTTCTTGTTCTACATTAATTGACTATTTTATGGTGTCGGAGCCTGATTTGGTACATACGAAAATGCAGTATCAAATGCCAGTTTTAAACTCAGGACATTCATTAATTTCTATCTCTTATAATGTCAGAATTGAAAGAAATTTCCCGAATTATTTTTTTCGGGACTATAGATCTTTAAACTTAGAACGGTGTTTGCAACAATTGCGATCAGTAAATTTTTCTTACTTATATAACAGGTATTTGGTAGATGATCAAATAGCTTTTCTTAATTCAGTTATACTTGAAAATTTTGAACAGAATGTTCCCTTGAGGAGAGCAAGAAGGCCGCGTTATGATAAATGGATGGATACCAATGAAATTAAAATTGCTCGCTCAAAGCGTAATCTGGCTTTCCGTGCCCTCAGGGAAGATAATTGTGAATATAATCGAAACATATACCGAATTAATCGGAACAGACTTAAAAGTTTAATAAGGAGATATCGGAGAAATGCAAGTATCAACTTCTTTTCTAATTGCAATCAAACACAGTTCTGGAATAGATTAAGATCTGAAGGGGCTATTGCAAGTAAATCTGAATCAAGTATGAATCAAGTGAATGTTGAGGAATTTAATTGTAATTCAATACTACCTCCCATTGTTGATGAAGGATGTTGGGATGTTATTTTTTCATCTAATATGGGGTTTTCCTTTAGAACAGTGGATGAATTGGAAGTATATAATGCCATGAATAGTATTAAAACTAATGCTGTAGGATATGATGGCATCCCTATTAAATATTTGAAATTGATTTTTCCTGTTATAGCAAAGCCTTTAATTTTTATTTTTAACAAAATAATAACCACATCTGAATTTCCAAGCATTTGGAAAATTGGAAGAATAGTGCCGGTTCCCAAGATTAAATCCCCAAGATTGGCAACTGACTTTCGGCCGATAAGTATACTTTCCTGCTGTTCAAAAATCTTGGAGATTTTATTGAGGAATCAAATTCAGGAGTACCTAGGAGAAAAGGGATTGTTAAGCACTTTCCAATCGGGATATAGGGAAAACTATAATACCACAGGACTTACTTTAGGAGTTGTAGAAGCTTTACGACATAATATGGATATGAAATTTGAATCTTTAGCAATATTTTTGGATTATTCCAGAGCGTTTGACTCCATAAGTCATTCTATGTTAATAACAAAGTTATTAAATTCATTTAAATTTGATAATACTGCTTGTAAATTAATTAGATCTTTTCTTACTGATCGTAGACAATTTACGGAGGTTGAAGGAAGAGTGTCTACAATTTTGGAAATTTTTAGAGGTATACCTCAAGGCTCTGTATTAGGACCATTGCTTTTCATGATGTACGTTAATGATATCTTTTCGCAAATACATTTCTGTACATGTTATGCCTATGCTGATGACATACAGTTGGTTGCATGTGACAATGGACGTGGTGTTGATTATTTGACGGTAAATGTTAACAGGGATTTAAAGCGCATCATGGAATGGTCAGATTTAAATTATTTAAGCCTCAATCCGACAAAAAGTCGCGTTATATTATTTTCAAATAATATTCAATTAAATATTAAACTTTATTTGGGAGATAACCCTATACAATTCGTATCTTCTTTCAAAACTCTTGGTATATACTTGGATAATAAATTAGATTTTGGGGTCCATATTAATCACATTATAGCGTCCATATCTTTTACATTGAGAAAATTTTATTCATTAGGTTGCTACTTACCTTTAAATGTGAAAAAGCAGTTAGTTTTTTCTGTATGTTTACCTACTTTTCTCTACGCAATAGAAGTTTATAGTGGTACATCCCAACACAACATGGATAAATTAGAACATTGCTTTAACAGAATAGTTAGGTATATATATGTTCTTAGATATCGAACGAGAATTACATCTTACGTTATATCACTCTTTGGCTGTAATTTTCAAGGTTTTGTTAATATAAGATTGTTACTTCAACTATATAAAATCATGAAAACGGGCTGTCCGCCTTACTTGAGAAATTTGTTTCAAATTGGTACGTCTTCACGAACACATGCATTAGTTCCTCCGCGTTATAATACGTTGATTATGAAGAGGTCATTTGTTGTCAGATCTATTGGCCTATGGAACTCTACAATACCGTATGCTGACAGAAAATTTTCATATTCCATAAAAAAGTTTAAGAATGTTGCAATGACAAATTTATAAATTTATTACAACTATTATTTTTGACTGCTATCTTTTGATGCCCAAATATTTGAATACTGTATTTGTGTTTGACCTTTAACATTTGTGCAATAGGGGGGTTTTAATTTAATTTTTATTTTCTTCTTTTCTTTCATATTTGTTTTGAAGTTTTAAATTAAATACATATATAAAATATTTATCTTTAAGATCTTAAATTGTATGCCATATATGTTGTACCGGTTTATTGGCCCTTAAGGGCTTAAAAAACTATTGAATAAATAAATAAATAAAAATAAAATAATCGGGGAATGCCAAAGAAGGGCTCAGGGCCGTTTAGTTGGTGACGAGCGCTCCTTTTTGCTAGGCAGTCTGCCCTTTTATTGCCAGAGTGACCCTCATGGCCAGGTACCCAACACAAGGTCAGTTTGTTGTATTTACCTAACTCAGTGAGTGAAGTCAAGCAATCCATTACAACACCCGACCCGACAATAAGGCTTTGAGCGATGCTTGGCTATCCAACATTATAAAAATTCGTAATCCCTTAGTTCTTCTCCTAACGCCACCAAACTAAAGTATCAAATATCCAGAAAATCATTTTCAGCTTGAGACACCATGTACTACCAAACAGCCTTTGACAGGCATATAATGCTCTGGTGGTTTTATTTATAGTACTGGATATATGCGAATTCTAATTAAGGGCCTTGTCAAGAATGATCCCTAGGTATTTAACTTCTTCGGAAAACTTAATCGTTGAACTGTTTAGTGTTGGCTGAAAGAGTTTTAGAGACTGCGCCTTGTAAATAGTACCGGGATGGTTTTTGAGGGATTGATAAGTAGTAAGCCCTCTCTCTTGACACCACTTGGATGTTAGATTGATTACTTCTTGTATCCGCTCCGATATCGTTACGTCACGGATATGACAAGATCGTCTGCGTAACCATATGTACGTAACCATAAGTCATTGAGTTTTTCAAGTCGACTATCGATAACCAGTGTCCATAGTAGTGGCGATAGTGCTCCTCCCTGAGGACAGCCTCTGGTATCCCATATGGTCCTCGATCTTCCACATAGATCAAATTCAATGACACTGGATGTCAGCAATTCGAGTATCCAGTTTCTTAAGACAGCTGGAACGCCTTTTCTTCGTAATGCATGCTCTATAGCACCATATGACGTATTGGCGAAAGCTCCTTGTAATGACTAATTACTAAATAGTGTTAAGATATTTTTCTGGTGTAATTATTAGTAATTTGCTACTAATATATGAAATTTGTTAAGTCATAATTTGATTCTTGATTTTTTTATCAAAAGCCAGTCCTTTTAAGTCCTCTTTTTTAAATGGTTTTTAAGATTAGAACAACATATCCTTTATATCAAATTTTCCCTAGTTTTTATTAAAGGGACTTAATCGTTTTGACTTGTTAAAAACATCCATATAACCCCACAAAACAAAGACAGTAAAAACTTTAATTTATATATGTATTTAAGGATCTAGAAGGAAAATTATGGTAACGATATCAATATCAAACTTTACAATCAATATCAATGGCCATAATCACGCCTCCAGTTTACAATTTAAATCTTAACTAAAATATAAAACATTAAATAGTATTACAAAGAATCATCATATAACAAACAAGGATGTCGATCACTTTGATCATTTTCACGTATCCAACGATTTTGAACTAGAAAATACATAATACATACAAATCAAATTATAATGTCAGACCATTAACAATAAAAAAAACCTACCCCACTTAGAACCCACTATAATGGGACAAGCACCATGTAAAGTACGTTTATCACCAACACCAGAAGCATGTAAATTATACCAAAAGGCAGCAGCTCCCTTCTTGGGCAATAAGTGACTTTTCATATAGGGAAAGGCGGTACCACCACCCTGTTCTACATCACTAAGCTAAAACAATGTATTGAAGAAATATTTGAAATATAAAATTTTTAATTTAATAAAGTTAAAGAAACAATACTTTACATAAATTAATACCGTGGCTATGCGATTGCCCATTTCAAACAGACTCACTCTTTCGGGAGTCAACTGTAAAGAAGATAGGAACACTTGTATTAAAACGAATATTTTATAAATTTGTTATTTCCCAAACTTACAAAGGCTTCATAAAAGAAATCATGATGTTCACCATAATGTCCGCCAATACCGTAGTTAGCAAATTGATGATCTTCACTATATTTCATATTAAGATTGGTCATATCTTCAACACGTTGATCAATTACCCTTAGTACTGGATGTCTTTTAACCGAAACAAAAGTAAATTGGCTAGTGCGTACATTAGATACTACGGAACTATTTGTACCCATTACAGTTGCTCTTTGAATGGCGGATGTGAGATTTTTTACTATCGCTATTTCCCTATCGGATATAATATCGTGAAATACTAATAAAAGCGGATAATGATTCATTTCTTCCACTTTAATGGGAGCCAAAATTAGAAACGGATGAGTTTCAGTAATATAGCTACAACGTAAATCACGTTCTTCGGTGGGTGTTTTTTTCAAAATATTGGCACAGGTGTATTTGTATAGTAGCGATTGACTAGCAGAAGCGAGATTTTTTACCAGAGGCTAAATGTAAATTAAAATGGAAGCGGTTAATAAATCGTTGAAGATATTTAAAGCTTTTTTTATTTACCTCATGATCTATAGTATAATCCACTTCAATTGAAGCTTTATCGGCAGATTCTTTTGAAAATTCTGCATAAAGTTTAGCTATTCTTTCATTAGCAGGATATAAATTAATCAAATCCACATATGATTGATTAGCACCTCTAACATCACCCAATTTATATTTAGCATTAGCTAAAGCCAATTCAATATCTAGTCTTTCCAATTTGGTAAAAGAAAACTCATTTTTATACTCAGTTTCAGACGCCTTCGGGAACCTTTTTAAAGCTTCTTTTAACCAAGAATAGGCTAATCTAAAGAAATCGGTAGCTAAAGCTCTTTGACCGATATCGTAACAAATACGTGTTTCCAATTGAAAACTTAATAAGGCAAATTATTTAATATTATTTAACAAAATTGTAGTTAATAGCCAACTTACTCATATTGTACACCTTGCAATATGCCCCGAGCTATATCGGAGGTATTTAATCTATAAATATCTTGTAACCTCAACAAACCATCAATGCCACCCTCATATTCGGAAATCTGAATATTACGCTTTTTAATTTTCTTTAAAGTTTCTGCAAAAAAACTTTAATATATTAAAGCTTTTTTAGCTTAAACTGAGCTAGTAGTAAACTTACTCTCGCCCTCTTTATATTGCATTACATTATCGATGCCCTCCCATTGGCTGGTTATTCTTTTAATTAATAAATATTTACTTAAAGGATTTTCCAAATATTCTGGACCTTTGGCTACAAATTCCTCATGTTCTCTTTCATATTCCGCAAGTTTTCTGAAATATAAAGTAACATCTTCCTTAACAGTTTTTAAATTGTTGTTAAAAAACTTTTACTTACTCTTTTAAAAATTCCAATTTATTTTCATTTTTCTTTATAAAGATTTCCATATTATCCAAAAATTTTAATTCAGTATCCATTAGAGTGGACATTTTGTGCACAGAAGAGTAATATTCAGCATTTATTAGAATTTGATTACATGTGATTAAAATCACTTTTATTAACAACCACTTCATATTGTTTAACTTTTTTTTTGATTTGTTTTCTTAAGCAAACTAACTTTAAGGTTTAATGATCTAGCGTGAACTAATTTTTTGTTGATCTGTAAGAGAATATTTTGTGTAAAGAAAGCTTCAAATAGTTAGAATTGAAAGCTTTTTTTGAATTTGTTTTGGTGGGCAATATATTACAACTGATAGAAACAAGTTTTTTGAATTAAATTAAATTTTATATAATTTTTATTATTTTTTGTTGTTGTTTATTTTGATCTGCATTTGGAAAAATTTTCTGTAAGAATTTATATATAGAGCATCGCACAGTGATATAGAATAAATAAAGTGAGGGAAATAATTACATAACTTCTAATCCGAATACTTAAATGGGAAGAATCAGAAGGCGACTTTGTGATACAAATTCCAGTGGCTGAATTTCTATAACATTGAATTTAGCAACATACTATTAAATATGAATTAAAATCTAACAAGTAAGAGTGTTATATTCGGCTGTGCCGAATCTTGTATGCCCACCATCAAAACATTGCCGAAAAGGAATGCTTCCTTATAAATAAACTTTGATATTTAAGAATCGATGCTTTTGTTATTATCAAAACAATATTCTCATTCATTACATCTATGTATAACTTTACCATCATACATATTATGTATATCGATAGGATCAATTATGGACTGATCCTCCTAAAATTTGGTAGAGAAATTTGTTCATGTTGAATTTCATCGCTATAGATGCTTCTTTTGGACAGTTATGAGCGTTAAAGTAATTTTCTGAAGGGGACCTTATTTGGGGGTAGGGTCAATTATGGACCTATCCTTATAAAATTTTACAAAGCGATTTAGGTTCCTAGAAAATATATTTATGTCGAATTTCATCGCTATAGATGCTTCTTTTGGACAGTTATGAGCGTTAAAGTAATTTTCTGAAGGGAACCTTATATGGGGGATAGGGTCAGTTATGGTCCGATCCTTATAAAATTTTACAATGATATTAAGGTTCCTAGAAAATATATTTAGGCCGAATTTCATCGCTATAGATGCTTCTTTTGGACAGTTATGAGCGTTAAAGTAATTTTCTGAAGGGAACCTTATATGGGGGATAGGGTCAGTTATGGTCCGATCCTTATAAAATTTTACAATGATATTAAGGTTCCTAGAAAATATATTTATGTCGAATTTCATAGCTATAGATGCTTCTTTTGGACAGTTATGAGCGTTAAAGTAATTTTCTGAAGGGAACCTTTTATGGGGGATAGGGTCAGTTATGGACCGATCCTTATAAAATTTTACAATGATATTAAGGTTCCTATAAAATATGTTCATGTCGAATTTCATCGATATAGATGCTTCTTTTGGACAGTTATGAGCGTTAAAGTAATTTTCTGAAGGGGACCTTATATGGGGGTAGGGTCAATTATGGACCTATCCTTATAAAATTTTACAAAGCGATTTAGGTTCCTAGAAAATATATTTATGTCGAATTTCATAGCTATAGATGCTTCTTTTGGACAGTTATGAGCGTTAAAGTAATTTTCTGAAGGGAACCTTTTATGGGGGATAGGGTCAGTTATGGACCGATCCTTATAAAATTTTACAATGCTATTAAGGTTCCTATAAAATATGTTCATGTCGAATTTCATCGATATAGATGCTTCTTTTGGACAGTTATGAGCGTTGAAGTCATTTTCTGAAGGGGATCTTATATGGGGGGTAGGGTCAAATCCGATCCGACCGATCCTTATAAAATTTTACAAAGCAATTAACGTTTTTATAAAATAGGTTCATGTCTAATTTCATCGCTATAAATGCTTCTTTTAGTCAGTTATAAGCGTTAAAGTAATTTTCTGAAGGGGAGCTTATATGGGGGATAGGGTCAATTATGGACCGATCCTTATAAAATTTTACAATGATATTAAGGTTCCTATAAAATATGTTTATGTTGAATTTCATCGCTTTAGGTGCTTCTTTTAGTCAGTTATGAGCGTTAGTTAGTTAGTTAGTTTGAAAGGAAGATGTATATACATCAAATCCGAAGAAATACACCTAGGCCTCTATCGGGCCTGTTGTGCGCTCCTTAACCAGTGCCTCAGGTGGGAATCGAACCCACCACCTCCGGTCTACCAGACTAGAACACTAACCTACCGGAGGCCACAGTTATGAGCGTTAAAGTCATTTTCTGAAGGGACCATATGGGGGCTAGGCGAAATCGTGGACCGATATTGCCCATTTTCAATACCAAACGAACTGCATCTCTATCGTGTTTTCAACAGACAGACAGACGGACGGACATGGCTAGATCGCCTTAGAATCTAATAAGAACCCAGAATATATATACTTTTATGGGTATTATTGAATATTTCAATGTGTTACAAACGGAATGACAAAAACAATATACCCCCCATCTTTTTTGATGGTGGGTATAAAAAGGGACTCTTTGGTATTTTTTTATTGTAATATTGGTACTTTTTATACCCACCATCAAAAAAGATATTGTTTTTATCATTCAGTTTGTAACACATCGAAATGTATATATTCTGGGTCCTTATTAAATTTAAAGACGATCTAGCCATGCCCGTCCGTCTGTCTGTTGAAAACACGATAGAGTCCGAACGGAAAGAGCTAGAGGGTTCTAATTTTACCCTAAAATTTCCTATAGGAAAGGTTTGTTTGATATTGAAAATCGGCAATATCTCTCGACGTTTTCGCATATCCCCCATACAAGTGGCCCCCCGAAAAACAGCTTTAATAGTCATAACTGTATTAAAAATTCGACATAAAGACCCAATATTTATCTACCAAATTTTATGATGATCGGTCCATAATTGAACCCACCCCCATATAAAGTCCGCTTCAGAAACGCCAATTACAGACTTAAGCCCTATTCCAAATATCACCCTAATGTGAAAAAAACTGGGCGTAGTAGAAATAGAGGGCATGGCACCTCCCATATAGATTAAATACAAAAATTCCTTTATCTGGAAAACTATTGATGTTAGAAGCATGAAAATTTAGCACGAAGAACTTTAACATTCATGTCAACATTTGGGGGAAAATGAGCGGACTTTCATTAAGGGGTATTGGAATCTCCCTTATGAATTAAATAGTTAACATAGAAAAAGCCAGGTTATGATACCAAAATTCACACTCATACATATGGGGAATTTCGTGTCAAGTGACCCAACTTTAAAAATCGATGACTTCCGATTAGGATCGGTCAAGAAATTCCGGAGTCATAGGGGGTCAAATTTGGATATTTTGGTCATACAGGGTTTTATTCAAATGAGTGCAACTTTTCACCTATTGGTTTTTGAGTTGGGTCACTTGACATGAAATTCCCCATATGTATATACATTTATTTGTACAAATTGATTTGAAAAGATACGTTGATAGGGAAACCATAAAAAATATTTTTTTAAATAAATTAAATTGTTTTATTTATATTTAAACTTTAAATTTTAAAGATTCATAATTACAGTCAAATTAAAAATTTCAATAAAAAAAAACATAAAATCTTAGAACACAGAATCATCATATAACAAACAAGGACGGCGATCACTTTGATCATGTATACGTATCCAACGATTTTGAACTAGAAAATATAATAAAACAAAAGAAAATCAAATCAAATTAAAAACACAAATCTCTAAACACAAACTTACCCCATTTAGAACCCACTATAATAGGACAGGCAGCATGTAAAGTACGTTGATCGCCCACGCCAGAAGCATGTAAATTAAACCAAAAAGCAGCAGCCCCCTTCTTGGGTAATAAATGACGCTTTAAATAAGGAAAGGCGGTACCACCACCCTGTTCTACATCACTAAGCTATAAATTGTTATAAAATTATATAAATAGCAACAAAATTTAAAAAAAAATAAAAACAATACTTTACATAAAATAATACCGTGGCTATACGATTGCCCATTTCAAAATTGCTCACTCTATCAGGTTTCATCTGGAGTTGTAAATATTTTATTTTCGAAATAAATTATTGCATTTATATTAACTCTACTTACATGATCTTCAACGAAATAATCATGATGTTCACCATAATGACCACCAATACCATAGTTAGCAAATTGATGATGTTCACTGTATTTCATATCTAAATTTGTCATGTCTTCGACCCGTCGATCGATCACTTTTAATACTGGATGTTTGCTAACGGGTACAAAAGTAAATTGGCTGGTACGCACATTAGATACTATGGAACTATTTGTACCCATAACGGTTGCTCTTCGAATGGCAGAGGTTAAATTTTTTACTGTTTCTATTTCTTTATCGGAAATGACATCATGAAATACTACTAACAAAGGATCATGATTCATTTCTTCCACTTTGAGGGGAGCTAATATTAAGAAAGGATGAGTTTCGGTCATATAACCACAACGTAAATCCCGCTCTTCTGTGGGAGTTTGTTTTATCAGATCAGCACAAGTATATTTATACAAACGAGTTTGACCGGCAGCGGCAAGATCTTCTATGGGAGGCTAAAGAAAGAAGAATTTTAAATTTTATTTATAATAACCCTGTTTATTTCTATATACTTCATGATCAATGGAATAATCCACTTCTATGGAAGCTTTATTGGCAGATTCCTCTGAAAATTTGGCATAAAGTTTAGCTACTCTTTCACTAGCTGGATATAAATTAATCAAATCCACATACGATTGATTAGCACCGCTCACATCTCCCAATTTATATTTAGCATTAACCAAAGCCAATTCTATATCTAATTTTTCCAATTTTGTAAAAGATAAATCACTTTTATTATCAGCATCAGAGTCTGTCGAAAATCTTTTTAAAGCTTCCTTTAACCAAGAATAAGCTAATCTAAAGAAATCGGTAGCTAAAGCTCTTTGACCAATATCATAACAATGACGTGATTCGAAATGAAGACTAAAAGTAAAATTTGGATTAAACAAATTCTATTGAAAACTTATAATAAAAAACTTACTCATATTGTACACCTTGCAATATACCCTGAGCTATATCGGAAGTATTCAATCTATAAGCATCCTGTAATCTTAATAAACCATCAATACCTCCCTCATATTCGGTTATATCAATACTATGTTTTGCAATTCTTTTCAAAGTTTCTGTAAAAATAAAAATTTGTTTAAATTTATAACTTTTTACTTCAAACTTTTAAGAGCTTTTTAAAACTTACTCACTCCCTCCTGATGTTGCATTACATTTTCGATTGTCTCCCAATCGTTTGTTAATCTTTTGGTTAACAAATATTTATTAACCGGATTCTCAAAATATACTGGACCTGAGGCTAAAGCCTCTTCATGTTCTCTTTCATATTCCACAAGTTTTCTACAATATAAAGTTCGTTATTTATTAACTTTCTTTAAAGTTTTTAATGTACTTACTCCTTTAAAAACTGTAATTTATTTTCATTTTTTCTTATAAATATTTCCATGTTATTCAAAATTTTTAATTCACTATCCATTAGAGTGGACATTTTATGCACCGAGGAATAATATTCTCCATTTATTAATATAAGATTGAAAAATATTAAAACCAAGCTTTTCATTTTTTTATAATTTTTATTATGTTCGTTTTTTTTTTTGTATTTCCTAAATCAGTGTTTAAAGTTGAATGTTCTATCATTGACTAATTTTTGTTTATGGCAAAAACTGTGTTTTGACTTGTTAATTTTTTGCAAAAGAAAGTTCATTTTAAATAGTTGGTAGCTCAAGTTTAAAGCTTTATCAGCTGGTATTTTGCTGTAAGCAAAATATAATTCCATCAAAGCCAAACAAAAAAAACAAGTCTTTTGAATTTAATTAATTTTTGATTTTTTAAGCATATTTAGAGGCCAATGTTCCTAATGAAATAACATTTAGAACACTGATCTTAACTGTGAGTGTGTGTTCTGGAATATATTTATTTGAAATTTTTACAATACAGTGTTATGAATGGACAAATCAGAAAAACATTTATAAATATAATTTTATAAGATTTTATTACATAAAAGAGTTAAATCGCTTAATCATTTTAATCATATTCCTACAATTAATACTGAAATGCCAGGAAACGTAGCATAAGTTTTTTTGTAATAACAGAAATCTAGTTTGATTACGTAGATCTCAGATTTTCTCTATCACATCTGGAATTTGAGATACCGTGTCCTGAAGTTTGAAAATATAAAATTTTTTTTTAAAAAATGTTATATGTCATCTGAAAGTCCATTCTGTCAACTTTAAAATAGAGACTTTACATCTGGGATATCTTTCTTATTCGAGATGTCTTTACATATAACTTAAAAACTCATGGTTTTAGATATATTCATGGTTTATTAATGGTATTTACACCCTACACTATTATAGCGTGGAGAGTGTTATGCGTTGTAAATATTGTTTATAATATTGGATCCACATGTACCTGAGAATGTTACAATCGACACCAAATCACTTTCTGATTCGATTAAAGGATGGCTGTCCGACTGTCAACTTCAACAGATGATATATCAGCAATTACAGGCAAAGCTTGGAAAGAATGAATTCGATTTGGAATTAATTCCCTTATATTTTTAATTCGGCTTTAAATTTTTGAATGTACCATTCTTTAAAATCACTCTTTGAATTTAAATTCTAAAGCTGAATTCCTTGGCTTTATATTCCATTGAATAAATTCCTAAAGGAATTCATTCTTTATAGGAATGAATTCAATTGAATGATCATTCATATTTGTTTAATTCCTTCTATTACAAATTGAATGAAAGAAAAAAAATTAATTTATTCCATTTTTAATATACAGAATGCTTTTGAATTATAAAACAATACTTTCATTCAATCTATTTCAAATTGAATTGTTGAAAAATTTTTAAATTCAATTTGTAATAGATTGAATTCAAACAAAATTTATATCATTCAGAGGGAATTTAAAAATCAATAGGAATTATTGAAATTTATTTTAATTTAATTTGTAATAGATTGAATGCAAACAAAATTAATTCATTCAGAAAGAAATTTAACATTCTATAGGAATTAATTCATTAGAGAATTAATTCAACTACATTGAAAGCTATAAGAATTAGTTCTAGGAATTAAATCAAAGGGAATGAGTTTGAAGAATTGTTAATTCTTTAAAATATAACCCAATTTCAAAAAAAGAATTAGGGAATGAATTCTTTTAGAGCTTTGATTACAGGAGATTTTTAAACAATTCAAAAAGTATTTTTATAGGAAAAAATGTTAAAAATTGGAATATATAATATATCTTTTTGTAAAATAAAGGTCGAAATATACAGTTTTTATCATTTGTCATTGTCTGGGTTAAAAATTTGTCGGCCTGTGTTATCGAGGGATAAAACAAAAACGGCTGAAAGGATTTGAAAATTAAATATTGCGGATAAGTGGGAATGCAATGGCCGAGTATTAAAAACACGTTCTGACAATCTCATTAACAGTCACTATTCATCAAACATGTTTTTCATAAATGACGCGAAGTGAGGGTCATGTGGTACTTATATAAGTTTATCGATAAGTATGAATAGAAAATCAAAACCATTTGTGTAGTCGGACATCCCCTCGGAGCATGTTATAGTCGCATGCAACTGTTTTGAATGAAAAATCTTGAAATCCAGAGATGACGCTCCATTAGATGTCTAAGGAAGACTAAGCGGCTGAACCGATTTTCTTGATATTTTAACAATGTCTTTCTGTATGTCTGGAAGTATCTATAAGATATCTTTTATTTCGAAGTTTTAAGTTGGCTTGGAGCAATGCATTATCTCAGAAAATGCAACAGCTAGAGTCTTCAAATTTTGTATGGGTAACTTTGACATCTACATGAAGATTTGAGAAGAAAATGGGCCAACAGGCAATAGTGGGCGGGACACCTCTAATATAAAGAAAATGTTAAATTGAAATATCTGTCAGAGTTCTCATGTTTTGTCGCAGCTATATTCGGCTTTGCCGAATCTTAAATACCCTCCACAAGCAAACTACTTTTTATTGAAATCCATCTATATATCTAATTTTTAGATAACTTGCCAAAATTTTTGTCGAACTAATTTTGATTAGGTTTAGAAAAATGTATATTAATACGCCAGTTCGAAAAAATTTTAATAGAATGATGTATCTATACACAGAATAAGGGAGTTGTGACCAATTATGGACTGATCAGGAAACAATTTCGTATAATGATTTTTATGCAGAAAAAGATCAAGTCTAATTTTACTCCAATAGCTTTATTAATCAATGAAATATGTGCGTTTAGGTGACTTTAGGAAGTGGACTTTATATAGGAGCTATGAGCAATTAAGGGTCTATCCGGAAAAATTTCGCAGAGTGATTCATATGTGCACAAATCATATTTTATCAAGATATCTTTATTTGATAATTAAATATGTGCGTTTAAGGGATTTTTTGAAGTGGACCTATTACCAAATATGGACCGATCCAGAAAAAATTTGGTACAATGTTTTATATGCCTATCCGCAAAAAATTTCGTAGAGTGATTTATGCAAAGACAAAACATATTTGTGTCGAATTTTCTCAAATTAACTTTATTTGACAATGAAATATGTGTGTTTAAGTGACTCTCAGAAGTGGACCTTATATAGAAGCTTTGACCAATAATGGACCGATCCGAGAAAAAAGTGGTAGAATGATTCATATGTACACAAAACTTATTCAAGTCGTATTTTACCCCTATAGCTTTAGAATTCAATGAAATATATGCGTTTAAGTGATTTTCGGAAGTGGACCTTATATGGGATCTATGACCAATTATAGGCCTATCCGGAAGAAATTTCGTAGTGTTATTCATGTTTAGGCAAAACATATTTGTGTCGAATTTTGTCAAGATAGCTTTACTTGACATTGAAATATGTGCTTTTAAGTGATTTTCGGAAGTGGGCTTTATATGGGAGCTATGACTAATAATGGACCGATCCGTAAAAAATTTGGTAGAATGATTTGTATGTACACAAAACATATCCAACTCGAATTTTATCACAATAGCTTTATTCATCAATGAAATATGTGCGTTTAGGTGATTTTCGGAAGTGGACCTTATATGGGAGCTATGATCAATTGTGGACCGACTGAGATCTACGTTGATAGTATGATTTCTGTTCATATTATATTTACATGTACAAAATTTTGTGTTGATACCGATATATTTGAGGGAGTTATTAACGATATACTAATTTCCGGGAATATATACCTTTGTATGGGGGCTATGGGAAATATTGGATCGATTGCAAAGATTTTGAATATAATTGATCACTGCCCTGAAAAAATAATGTGTGACAAAATTCATCAAAATATCTTTGCTAGTTTCTGAGAAAACTTCAAGAGAATTATGAAAAAAACGTAATTTTTTTCGAGGTAGTCTGAAATTTTTACTCATAACTTTTTACGTTGTCAACCGATTTTGCTGATTTTCAATACCAAACTACTTAGGATAATAATAAATATTTTGGGTGAATTTGGTTGATTTCCTCTGCTTAGTTTTAACGTGAGCGTGTTTTACACAGACAGACGGACAGACGGCATGGCTAAATCGACTCAGACACACGGAACGACAAACTTATATATACCCTCTATCCCCACTGATGGTTGTGGAGGGTATAAAAATGGTATATCTAAGAAACTATTATATTTATATTGCTAAAATTTTGCACCAACAACTCTGAAATCCATTCGAACTTTTGGAAATAAAATGGACGGACAATCAATGAGGTGCGTGGCACCCATATACTATATATAAAAAATTTCTTATATCTGGAAACCTATTAGAATCCCCAAAATTATGCATGAACAACATTGACATCCATGTGAAAAATAAATTGACGGATAAAGTATATCTAAGAAACCATTATATTTATATGCCTAAAATTTTGCACCAACAACTTTAAAATAAATTTGAATTTTTGGAAATAAAATGAACGGACTATCAATGAGGGGCGTGGCACCCCTATATGAATTAAATACAAAAATTCTTATATCTGGAAACCTATTAGAATCCCCAAAATTTTGCATGAACAACATTGACATCCATGTGAAAAATAAATTGAAAAACATTTGGCACAAATGGCTGAACTTACAACAGCAAACTAAAGTGAATATAAAATTTTAAAGGTTTTTCAATTATATCGTTTTAAGGGTAGCGGAGCACACTGGGTATAGCTAGTTTAAAATAAAAAACATTTTATTGTAATAAATAAATATAATATGTCATATATTAAGAAATACAGATTTAAAGACAAATACAATCAAATTACAGAGAATCATCATATAATGAGCAAGGTCGACGATCACTTTGATCATGTACACGTATCCAACGATTTTGAACTGAAAATAAAAGAATAAATTTCACATAAATTCAATTGTTTTACAAATAAACGAACAAACAAACTCACCCCATTTAGAACCCACTATAATGGGACAGGCACCATGTAAAGTACGTTCATCCCCGGCTCCAGATTCATGCAAATTAAACCAAAAAGCAGCAGCACCTTTTTGGGGTAATAAATGACGTTTCATTAAAGGAAAGGCGGTGCCACCACCCTGTTCTACATCACTAAGCTGAAAATTTATTAAAGAAATATTTTATTTTAAGATTAATAATTTGTAGTCAAATCTGTAATGAAATAAAATACTTTACATAAAATAATACTGTAGCTATGCGATTGCCCATTTCAAAATTACTCAATCTTTCTTTTGTCATCTGAAAATAAGGCAAATTATTTCAAATAGAAATTACATTTTGAGTAGCCATAACTTACATGAGTTGGAAAGAAGTAATCATGATGTTCAGCATAATGTCCACCAATACCATAATTGGCAAACTGATGATCTTCACTATATTTCATATTTAAATTGGTCATATCTTCGACTCGCCGATCGATAATGCCTAATACTGGATGGGCTGTAACGGGTAGAAAAGTAAATTGACTTGTACGAACGGTGGACACTTCAGAACTATTTGCCCCCATTACTGTGGCTCTTTGAATAGCTGTAGTTAAATTTTTTACTACCGCAATTTCCTTATCGGATATGACGTCATGGAATATAACTAACAGGGGATCATGATTCATTTCCTCAACTTTAAGGGGAGCCAAAAGTAAGAAAGGATGAGTTTCAGTCATATAACCACAACGTAATTCACGTTCTTCAGTGGGAGTTTGTTGTAAGAGATTGGCGCAAGTATATTTGTATAACAGCGATCGACTGGCTGTTTCGAGATCTTCAACAGGTGGCTAGAGAAACCAGAAGGGTTAGGAAAACGTATTTGAAAAAGTAGTTTAATTTTACTCACATCATGATCAATGGTATAATCCACTTCAAATGAAGCTTTATCGGCAGATTCCTCAGAAAATTCGGCATAAAGTTTAGCTACTCTTTCACTAGCAGGATATAAATTAATCAAATCCACATACGATTGATTAGCACCTCTAACATCACCCAATTTATATTTAGCATTAACCAAAGCCAATTCAATATCTAATTTTTCCAATTTTGTAAAAGACAACTCATTTTTACTTTCAGCTTCAGAGTCGGCTGAAAATCTTTTTAAAGCTTCATTTAACCAAGAATAAGCTAATCTAAGGAAATCGGTAGCTAAAGCTCTTTGACCGATGTCGTAGCAATGGCGTGATTCGAAATGGACACTAGAAACGATATAAAGATTTTAATTTAAAAATTTATATTGAAAACATATAATAAACTTACTCATACTGCACACCTTGCAGTATACCTTGAGCTATATCGGAAGTATTTAATCTATAAGCATCCTGTAATCTTAATAAACCATCAATGCCTCCATCATATTCGGAATTTTCTATACTATGCTTTTCAATTCTTTTCAAAATCTCTGCAAAAATTTTGAAATTTTTCAATATTTAACAGCTTTATAATTAAGCTTTTAACTTACTCTCTCCCTCTTTGTATTTCATAATGTTTTCAATTCTGTCCCAATCATTGGTCAGTCTTTTAGTTAACAAAAATTTATTTACGGGATTTTGAAAGTATACCGGACCCGTGGCTAAAGCCTCTTCACGCTCTTTTTCATATTCTGAAAGTTTCCTTTTAAAAGAATAAATTTTTTAATATGCAGTAAAACTTTTCCACCGAAATCAAAACTTACTCTTTTAAAAATTTCAATTTATTTTCATTTTTTCTTATAAATATTTCCATATTATCTAAAATTTTTAATTCAGCATCCATTAGAGTGGACATTTTGTAAGCAGAGGAGTAATATTCTCCATTTATTAGAACTTGATTACATATTATTAGAAATACTTTTATTAAAAACCACTTCATTTTTCTATACTTTTTTAATACTTTTTCTTTAGTGTTTTACTGTTTTACTCAATCAGTCTTTAAACTTTAATGTTCTATTTCATACTAATTTAATGGTTGGCTAAAACTATCTTTTGACCTTAAAAGTGTTTGCCAAAAGAAAGCCCAAAATTTTGTTAGTGTTTCAAGTTCAAAGCTCTATTCGCTTGTGCTGTTTGTATGCTGTAGGCTAATAGATTACAACAAATGAAAACAAGTTTTTAGAATTTAATTATTTTGCTTTTTCGTTTGTTTAAATCTACAATTTAAGCTTTCAGGGGCCAATGTTCTTAGAGTTTAAAATATATTTCAATATTTGTTACTTGGGTATTTTTGCAATACAGTGGTATAAACGGAAAAGTGTAAATAATTTTACTTATAGAAGCATTTAAACTTTACAATACAAATCAGGCGAAAATCGATTCAAAATTAGTTCAGCATAAAGGCATAATACCATTTTCTAGACACTTTTTGTTTAATTTTATGTTTAACTTTATGTTATACTAACATACCCTGGGTGCTTCGCTACCCTAACTTAAATTAAATACATAAAAAATTTTGTTTACTTTTATGGAATATTAAAATTTATTAAAAATTTTTTTAATGTTTCTGTTTTTTACGTTCAATATCACATGAATAAATTCGATTTCAGTAAGAAGCTTGTATTTTTAGTTACATTCGTTAGCATTATTGAAAATTTCGAAAGTACTATTTGAAAAAAGTACTATAAAATACCACATTTAATCAAAAGTTTTATGTTTCTGTGTTCAATATTATATACAATTCAAAAAATATAATTTGATGAATGAAAAAGTACCAAAAGTCCCTATCAGTAGATTCTCATTCACTAAGGTCCCAACATTTTAAATTTTATTTTCAATATATATGTTCAGTGTCGTAAAAATATCAAAAAGTACCGTCGGAAAAACGAAAAAGTACAAAAATCTCTCTCAATAATGTGTTCCGGTTGACCATTTGAATAATGGAAAAGTATCAAAGAGTACCCACTTACAGAATATTATTCAGTCAAGACCATGTATGTTAAAATTTATGTTCCCGGTTGAATATTTTAGAAAATTCAAAAATTCATTTATGAGATAAAAAGTACTAAAAAGTTCTCTCCTAAAGAATCTTATTCAATGAGGACCGTGTATGTTTAATAATCATGTGATTTGAATTCATATTATAAAACATACAGAGTATCATTTGAAGAAAGAAAAAGTACCAAAAGTGGAATAAATTCTACCTTAATGGAAAATACTAATAAAAAGAGTAAAATTTTTCCCCTTTTCGTTTAGAAATATACTTTTTCGAGAATTAAGTTTACAAAATGTTCGTTATTTAAATCTATATATCACAGATAAAACTCAAACGATTCAAATCTGCATTCATTTGTTCCAGAAAAATAGTGCTTTCAAAAAGTACCAAAGAATTTACTCGAATTTGGTCCTATATAGACCTTATTACTCGAATTCCAAAATAATATAACAATAGCTTATTTTGTGTTAGTAAATAAACTACTTTTTAAAATTTTATAAAAATTGGCTCAAGAGTTTGAATAAAATTAAATTTCCCGTTTTCCCCTTATTGGTACTTTTTTACCCAGTGAAATAGCAAAAATGTTGTTTCAATAAATATTACAGAGTTAGTCCGTAATTTAATAGGTATACTTCAATAAACCGAAAAAGGTTTATTAATGTGTTAAAAAAAGTACCATAAATACAGTTTTCTCCCTTTTACACCCAAAAAGGACTGAATTTTAAAAAGGTACGAAACATGTGTCTAATAATTTTTGAGAGATGTATCCAAAATATTTATAAACATTTTATTATGTTAATTAGTTAAAAAGTTATAAATTGCCAAAAAAGGTACCAAAATCACTTTTGTTACACATTTTCACCCCTTAAAAGTACGATTTTCAAAAAAGTACCAGACACCCATCAGCTTATTTTAAGAGTAGACACAGGTGCATTTAAAATTTTTCTTGTATCACTAATATTAGGTAAGATAATTAAGAAAACCTGTTTTACCCGTTTTTCCCCTTTTTTACCCCTAAATGTACAAATTTCCAAAAATCCCTCCTTAGTGGATCTACATAACCAAAAACACATCTACTGTTAAACTTTCATGATTCTAGGTTCAGCCGTTTGGGCTGTGCGATGATGAATCGGCCAGTCAGTAACGCCACTCTTTTATATACATATATAGAAGATTGGCTGTAACCAGTTATTGTAAATGTATATAGGGTATTCCACAGATATTTCGACCACTTCAAATTTTCAACCCTTTTGATTTAGTTACAACTCAAAACGTATATTCTACTCTTAATTGCAGTTTTTATGGCGTATAAATTGGATCCTTAACTTATAAGGTTCATATTTTATTGGTCTTTAAAATCGGTCATGTCGGGTATTTTTGTTCGAAATTACAAATGTGGTTGACTGAATAACTTTGGAACCACCTTTCCAACTTTAACAAATGATGTTGCGTTCGACAGGAATTCGATTACTCGATGTTGATATTTGATATTTACATGAAGTCCTGGCACAAGGACCATAAAGTGGGAAATGTCCTTTATCTTTGAATATCTTAAAAAAGGACATTTTAATTTTCTTAATTTGTTTATGACAAATAGAAAAAATTATTGTTATTGCTATGTAAAAATTTTAGAATGGGATCTCAATGGGTGTGGAAGTTATAGGAGTTTTTATCTACCTACATGGGAGATAAAAACTCCCAGGAAATTTTCTAGCTTTCTTTTAAGCAAAAAAGGGGTCCATTTTGAAAATTTTGCTAGGACCAATAGGTGAAAAGTTACACTCATTTAAATAAAACCCTGTATGACCAAAATGTCCAACTTTTTCCCCCTCTGACTCCGGCAATTCTTGACCGATAGAGCTGAAAATTTGTGTCTGGCCTGCTATCCCATAGTACTAACCTTAGAGTTTCAAATTTCATCCAAATCGGAAGACATCGATTTTTAAAGTTTGTTCATTTGACACGAAATTCCCCATATTCAATATTGGTCTTTTGTGCCGGTGTGCTTAATTATCATTCCAGAAAGTTGCAATATCATAGTGGGAAATGTTGCAATATCATAGTGGGAAATAAAAAAGTTCTAAAAATAGGTACAATTTTCCCCCTTAAACGTTCGAATATCCAAAAAGTACTAAATTCTTATTCGAATTTAATGTGCGTGGGTTATTCATATTGAAGCTTTAGCAAATCGCAAGAACTTAAGACTTGATGATAAATTGGTCCAATTTCTAACTACACCCAGCCTCTGATCTGACAGACATCTAATGCATCAGGGGCGCTATGGGAACTCAAAATAGGACACCTTTAACATGGAAACATCAATTAAAGATTTTTGGTTTGAAAATTTAGAAAAATTTAAGTTAATTTTAGCATTTTAGTGTCTTTCTTGGTTACTAATTTTTTCTGGGATATTTGCTTAAAATGTATTTTTACACAGAATATTTCAGAGTGATAAATATGTCCTGTTTTTATACCCGTCATCAAAGGGAGAGTTTGTAATTCCCATAAGACCCATACAAGTATATATATTCTAGGTCCTTATAAGATTCTAAAACGATCTAGCAATTTCCGTCCATATGTCTGTAGAAAACACGATATTGTCCAAATGGAATGATCTAGAGAGCTGAAATTTTGGCCAAATATTTTCAGCTAATGCAGTTTGTTTGGTATTGAAAGTAAATAATTAATTTTGGTTTTGGAAACCTTCATGTGTTTCTTATTTATCTTAAAGTATTTTTCTAGCCCCAAATGAAACATGGACCATATATTAAAAATTTATTAAAATTCCAATTTTGGGAGTTTTGTTAAAATTTTAGGGAATTACAGGATTCCCTTTGATCACAAATAAAAACATTTATTTTTTGTTTAATGAAAACTTTTTTAAAACAACAAATTACTAAAATAGGAACTACAATGAATCATTAAACAATAGACATGGTCTGCGATCGCTTTGATCATGTTCACGGATCCAACGATTTAAAACTGGAAATAAAATAATAACATAATTAGTTTAAGTTTCAAGCAATTTAAAACAAACCTACCCCACTTTGAACCCACTATAATGGGACAGGCGCCATGCATAGTACGTTCATTACGAACTCCAGAGGCATGTAAATTATACCAAAAAGCAGCAGAACCTTTTTTAGGTAATAAATGTTGTTTCATATAAGGAAAAGCGGTACCACCACCTTGTTCGACATCAGTTAGCTAAAAGTTAAAAAAAAAACTATTTAAATTTGGTTTTCTTACTAAAATACAAAGAAACAATACTTTACATAAAATAATACCGTGGCTATACGATTGCCCAAATGATATTTAGTAACTTTTTCAGGACGCATCTAACGATAAAGAATAAGATATTATACGAAAGGTAACTTTTTTCGAAATGAATTTATACTCACATGTAATAGCGAAAAGTAATCCCTATGAGGCCCATAATGACCACCAATACCATAGTTGGCAAACTGATGATCTTCACTATATTTCATATTAAGATTAGTCATATCTTCAACACGTCTATCGATTATGCCTAATACAGGATGTTTATGTGCCTTAATAAAAGTTATTTGACTGGTGCGTATATCGGATACAGTTGATTTATTTTCACTAAAAACTCTTGCCCTACGTATGTGTTTAGTTAAATTTTTCACAATTTCTATTTCATTATCGGATATAACATTATGAAATACTAGCAACAAGGGATCATGATTCATTTCCTCTACTTTGATGGGAGCCAAACGAAGAAATGGATTAGTTTCGCTTATATAACGGCAGCGTAAGTGACGTTCTTCACTGGGGGTTTTCCTTATAAGATCAGCACATGCATATTTATGTAATATAGATTTACTAGCTTTATCTAAGTTTTTTAGGGGAGACTGAAAAATAAAAAGGTTGGTAATATATGTATCTATAACATTTGATATTAATTATACTTCATGATCTATTGAGTAATCAACTTCAATGGAAGTTTTATTAAGAGATTCCTCTGAAAATTCTGCATAAAGTTTAGCTATTCTTTCACTGTCCGGATATAAATTAATCAAATCCACATACGATTGATTAGCACCTCTAACATCACCCATTTTATATTTAGCATTAACCAAAGCCAATTCGATATCTAGTTTCTCAAGTTTGATCTCTGATCCAGTTGAAAATTTGTTTAAAGCTTCTTTTAGCCAAGAATGAGCTAATCTAGTTAGATTTGTAGCTAAAGCTCTTTGACCAATATCATAACAATGGCGCGAGTCAAAATGGACACTAAAATGATAACACATGGTTTTTTAAATCTTTTCTAAAGTAATAAAACTAAAACTTACTTATAGGAAATGCCTTTTAATATACCCTGAGCTATATCAGTAGTATTTAGTCGATAGGTATCCTGTAAGCGTAGCAGACCATCTATGGCTCCTTCTAATTCATTCTCATCAACACTATGCTTTTCAATTATCTTTAGAGAGTCTGTAATGAAAAGATTTTCAACAGAAATTACAAATATTTCTCATTTAACAACTTACTCTCTCCCTCTTGGTATTGCATTACATTTTCGATTCTTTCCCAATCGTTGGTCAGTCTTTTAGTTAACAAATATTTATTTACCGGATTCTCAAAATATACTGGACCTGTGGCTACAGCCTCTTCATGTTCTCTTTCATAATCCTTAAGTTTCCTAAAATTCGCTCAATTTTTAGAGACAATTTCCATATACAGACTTCATCGGAATACTTACTCTTTTAAAAACTGTAATTTAATTTCATTTTTTCTTATAAATGTTTCCATATTATTTAATATTTGTAATTCGGCATTCATTAAAGAGGACATTTTATGTACCGATGAATAATATTCGGCTTTAATTAAAATTTCATTTGAAATTATTAATAATAATACTTGAACTAAAAGCCACTTCATTTTTTCCCCCTGGCAATGTTCTATTGTTCTAACAGTGATCTTTATGGTTTAATGTTATAACTCCTACTAAAGTTATTTTATATTGTCTAAAACTTACATTTGACCTAAAACCCCTATGTGACAAAATAAAAAGAGAGCATTTTTTATACCCTTCACCTTCGTGAAAAGGGTATATATAAGTTTGTCATTCCGTTTGTAAAAAGAAGTGTATATAATAAATGTAAAAAAATTCAAAGGGTATATAAGATTCGGCACAGCCGAATATAACATTCTTACTGGTTTTATTTAGATTATGTTGTAATATTTAATTATTTATTTTAATATAAAACCAGTTTTTTGTTTTATTTTAATTATTTCATTTTTCTCTTTGTGTTTTCTTTTTGTCTAAACTGGATTAATATATATATTTATATGTCTCCATGGGTCTTTGTTCTTAAAAATAATCTATTTTAAGAACTCTGTTTAATATGTTACTAATTGATTTAGGGTATTTCAAAAATATTATGTTTTAATTTATAATACCCTACACCACTATAGTGGAGTGGGTATTATGCGATTTTGCTGATATTGTAACTCCCTAAAATAAGTATACCAATCGGCTCAGAATCACTTCCTGAGTCGATTAAGCTATGTTCGTATGTCCGTCCGTCCATGTAAACCTAGTGCGCACTCTACGGTTTGCAAGAGATAATTTAATGAAATTTGGAACGTGCGCTTCTTTTAGTTCAAGGAGGAACGCTATTAAAAATGGTTGATATCGGTCCATTATTTCACCTAGCCCCATCAAAAAATGACTTGAATGTTCACAATTCACTTAAAAACACTAGTATCACAAAGAAATTTGGCATGTGTATAGTTTTTTATAATGAATTATATATAAACATAAATCCCGACAATATATTTTCTAAGGATCGGGCCAAGTTTTACCCTAGCATTAGCATATAAACGTTCCTTCCGATTTGGGCCTTTTAGCATAACTACGTCAAATGCACTACTATCTTCCAAAAAATAGTCACAACTAAGTTTGATATAATCCTAAATAACACTGTCAGTTCATTATTCATTACCGATCATTACTAAGATCGGGCCTCAATTGACCCTAGCACCCAAACAAAGTCCCCTTCAGAAAATTATTTGAACGTCCACAATTCACTTATAAACATTAGTATCATGATTAAATTTTTGTCGCAAATAACTAAATTTTATATACATAAATAGAAATCCCGATATTCAATTTTATAAGGATCGGACCAATTTTTGTCCTAGCCCCCATACAACCGGACCTACAGATTTGGGCCTTTTATCTCATAAGTATGTACGTCAAATATACTACTATCTTTCCAAAACTCAGTATAATTAAGTTTCATATAATTATAAATAACACTGTCGATTTTCGTAATGATCGGTCCTCATTTGACCCTAGCCCCCATACAAAGTCCCCGTTCTGAAAACGAATTGAATGCCCACAACGCACTTATAAACACTAGTATCACAATAAAATTTGGCACAATAATTTTTTATAAACATAATTCACGACAATAAATTTTATAAGGATCGCCTCAATGTCTGACCTTGCCCCCATACAAACGGACCTTCCGATTTGGGCCTTTTATCTTTTAACTACGTCGAATATACTACTAACTATACAAAAATCACCATAACTAAGTTTGATATACATAATTATAAATAACACTGTCAATTTTCGTAATGATCGGGCCTCATTTAACCCTAACCGCTATACAAAGACCCCTTTAGAAAATGACTTTAATGTGCACATGTCCATAGTATCACGATGAAATTTCGCAGAAATAAGTTTTATATAAACATAATTCACGACAATAAATTTTATAAGGATCGGCTCAATTTCTGCCCTAGCCCCCGGACTGGACCTTCCGATTTGGGCCTTTTATCTCTTAACTACTTCTAATATACTACTATTTATCCAAAAATCGGCACAATGTGCTGATGTTTGTAACACTCAAAAATATTTGTCCTTAAGTATACCAGTCGGTTCAGAATCACATTCTGAATTGATTAAGCTATGTCCGTCTTTGTGACCGTGTAAAGCTTGTGTGCACGCTACAGCTCGCAAATCTCAATATAATTTCTTAAAATTTGTCTTCTTTGGATCCAATGACAAAGGCTGTTAAAAATTATTGAAATAGGAACTTTTATTTCTCCTAGTCAGCATACAGCCGTACATGAGCAGACATTATTTGGTACCCATGTAAGATTAAACATAAATGCTTTATTATTGAAAATTAATAACATTTAATATTCGCAATTGGTGTAGGGTATCGTATGGTCGGCCACGCCCGACTCTAGTTTCTTACTTGTTTTTTCTTTCATTTTCGTATTTTTTATATAAATATTTTAGTTTTTTACATGGTTTTTTATAATTTTTATACCCACTATCAAAAAAGATGGGGGTATATTGTTTTTGTCATTCCGTTTGTAAGACATCGAAATATTGGTCATAGACCCACGCTATCTCGCCATGTCCGTCCATCTATCCGTCCGTCCGTCTGTCTGTTGAAAACATGATAGGGTCCGAACGGAAACATCTACAGGGATGAAATTTTTCACAAATATTCTCTATAGGTAAGGTTTGTTTGGTATTAAAAATGGGCAATATCGGTCCATGTTTTGGCATAGCCCCCATACAAGTGGCCCCCCGAAAAACGGTGTAAACAGTCATAGCTGGTATGTCAGTATGTCAATTAAATTCCACATAAACAAGTTTTATATGAACCAAAGTCTCCCTACCAAATTTTATGAGAATCGGTCCATAATTGACCCCACCCCTCATATAATGTCCCTCTCAGAAAACGACTATAACACTCATAACTTGCTTCAAAATGATAGCCATGCAACGAAATTCGACATAAACAAGTTTTAGGTGAAAACCTCTCTGCTAAATTTTATGGAGATCGGCCCATAATTGAACCTATCCCCCATATAAGGTTCCCCTCGGAAAAAAATACCAGCAAATCACGAAAGTCAACATAAACATGTTTAAGAGGAATTAAAATCTCTCTGCCAAATTTTATGAGGATTGGTTCATAACTGACCCTACCCCCGATATAAGGTCCCCTCATAAATTGACTATAAAGCTCATAATTTGCTACAAAATTATAGTAAAGCAACGAAATTCGACGTAAACGAGTTTTCGGAGAACAAATATCTCTCTGCCAAATTTTATGGATATCGGCTCATAAGTGACCCTACCCCCCATATAAGGTTTCTCTCAGAAAACTACTTTAAAGTTCATAATTTGCTTCAAAATGCCAGTATATCAACGAAATTGACATAAACATGTTGTATAGAAACTAAAATCTCTCTGCCAAATATTAAGAGGATCGGTCCATAATTGATTCTACCCCCCATATAAGGTCCCCCTCATAAAATGGCTTTAACGCTCATAACAATAACTTCAATTAAAGACTTCATATAAGGCTTAGAAAGCATTAATACAAAACAAGTTTTATTGTATATTTATATATGATAAATCAGTTTAGAAAAAATCCAATAAATGATTAAATTATAGTAGCAAAAACATCGGTTGTTATAGTATAGCTCCACTTTGCGAAATTCTCCTGAAATTTAAGACATATGATTTGATGGTGGGTATATAAGATTCGCCGAATATAGCACTCTTACTTGTTATAATTTTTTTTAATAATCAAAAGATGGGAAGTATATTAATTTTGGCTTTCCTTTTGTACACATCGAAATATTGGTCTAAAACCCAGAAAAGTATGTCCTCGTTAAAAATCTTGCCTTGTCCGTCCGTCTGTTGAAAACATTGTAGGGTCCGAATGATAAAAGCAAGATTACTGAAATTTTCCATAAATAATTTTTATTGAATCAAGTTATTTGGTGTTGAATATTAGCATGATCGGTTCACAATTTATTTTTGCCCTCATATAAGAGACCTCCCGGAATTCAATTCAAACAGTCATAACTGACTTAAAAATACCAGTATAGTGATGAAATTCGATATAAGCTATTTTCATACGTACACAATTTTTTGAAAATCTGACCCACTATATTAGATAGACCCTACCCACTATATTAGGCCGTACTCATAAAATGACTTAAGGATTAAATTCAAGGTAAACAAGTTTTATAGGAACCAAAATCTCTCCACAAAGTCTTAAGATGATCGAAAATATCTTTAAAGCCCATAACCGGCTTAAAAATGACAGCATATTGATAAACTTTTACAGAAACAGGTTTTACCGGAAATATCTCTACTAGTTATATAAGGATCGGTTCATAATTGACTCTACCCTATAAAACTTAAAATTAAGGTTCAAATTCAAGGTAAACAAGTTTTATAGGAACCAAAATCTTTCCACAAAGTTTTACGATGATCGGAAATGTCCCATAACCGGCTTAAAAATGACAGCATATTGATAAACTTTTACAGAAACAGGTTTTACCGGAAATTTCTTTACTAGTTATATAATTGTCGGTTCATCGGGGATTTGAATAGGGGCTATGGTCAAATGAGACCCTATAATTAAAAAATTCATGAGGGTCATCAAGGCTAGTATAGAACTTGGGTCTGTAGCTTTTTGTCGAGATACGAGTATATTAAACATAATTATGAACTTAAAAGCCCCATTAGTCCGGTTCAGTTGTATGGGGGCTAGGTGAAATAATGGACCGATGTTAACCATTTTCAATAGACTTCGTCTCTGGTACCATAGAAGATCGTGTGCCAAATTTCATTGAATTATCTTCAAAATTGTAGTTTGATTACAAGCTTTACAAGCCCTATTCAGGGGTTCAGTTGTATGGGGACTAGGTGAAATAATGGACCGATGTTAACCATTTTCAATAGACTTCGTCTCTGGTGCCATAGAAGATCGTGTGCCAAATTTCATTGAATTATCTTCAAAACTGCGACCTGTAGTTTGATTACAAGGTTTACAAGCCCCATTCAGGGGTTCAGTTGTATGGGGGCTAGGTGAAATAATGGACCAATCGTAACCATTTTTAATTGGCTTCGTCCCTGGGACAATAGAAGATCATGTACCAAATTTCATTGAATTATCTTCAAAATTGCGACCTGTAGTTTGATTACAAATTTTACATGGACGGACGGACATAGCTAAATCGACTCAGAAAATGATTCTAAGTCGATTGGAATACTTTAAGGTGGGTATAGGACCAATATTATTGTGCGTTACAAACATCAGCACAAACCCAATATACCCTCCCCACTAAAGTGGTGTAAGGTATAAAAAATAATTGAAATATTTTGCAATTTAAATTAAGACTTGCAATACTTTTACATTGCAATTGCAATTTTGCACATGTTTACAAGTCAAGAAATTAATGCACAGTCGGTTGCACATGAGTTTAAATTTTATAATTTAATTTAAAAAAAAGAAATGAATATAAATTTTGTCACTTAATAAAAACGATTACTTATTTAAAAGCTTTCTACATGAGTAATACTAATTTCCACAAAAAAAATTCTTTTAATTTAAAATTATAACCAATTTTATATATAACAAGGCTTTTTGAATATTTGGGCATTTGAGCGAATCCATTTACTGCAAACTGCAACGAAATTAAATTAAAGCCAATAATTCTAATAATTTTCTATCCAAAATTCTTTAAAACATACCCCATTTAGAACCCACTAAAACGGGACAAGCAGCATGTAAGGTCTGTTCATCAATCTCCACTTTATTATTAAGATTATACCACATAAGAGCAGAGCCCTTGCGAGGAAATACGGCCGTTTCTAGTTTTGGAAAAACTGTGGCGCCACCTTGTTCTACATCACTCAACTAAATGGTAGTTGTTAGAAAAAATACATTTTTGACTTTCTTTAGGAAAACTTACGTAAAACAATACAGTAGCTATACGATCTCCCAGTTCTAAAACCTTTGTAGGGCTCTAAATATAATTTAATATTTTATATCATTTGAACACACTAAATCACTACTTACATCTGTTGCATTAAAGAAATCATAATGCTCCTCATAGTGACCACCCAGACCATAATTTACAACTTGCAATTCTTCCGCATCGGCAATATTTAAACCAGTCATATCACTTATTCTTTGTTTGAGGCGTTTTATTATTACATCGATGTCATCGTCCAACCAAACTACCTTGGAAGTTCTTTCATTTGCTACCAATAGCTCGGACGCTTCATTGTCATATACAGCCGCCCTTTGTAAATTTGGTCTAGCTAAATTTATTAAATGTTTTATTTCCTTATCTGATATTATATCATGAAATAGCACCATGTATGGTTCAAAATTTAATAGTTCCATTTTTATGGGAGCCAATCTTAAGAATGACGTAGTGTTTGTGTTATAAAGACAATATAGTTTTGAAAGATGTTTGCTGAAGTCACCACGACAACCACGTTCATAATTGGAAATAACTGGTGTAGGGTACTAAGGTTGTGGTTAAATTTAGCATATGAATTATTTAAAAAGAAGAAATCATAATAATATTTCTTACCTCTAATGGTTTATCATTACTTTTATGGATTAATAACTGTATTTGATTTTTGCGATTTAGTAAATGAGCATCCAATGGTTGTAAATCTGAAGCCTGTGTAACAAAACGTAAAGCGTCTACGGGTCGATCTAAATATTATAAATTAATAAAGAATAATAAATCTTAGTCGTCCAACATAAAATTTAGTTTCTCCCTTTTTTTACGGAACTGTATATATGATCACAAAAATCCTATGGGGTGACCCCACCGCCTCCTTGGAAAGAATAAAATGGTACTTATTCTTAGTGGATACACAGATTCACGAGCATAACTATACAATATCGGACGAACGGTTTCAGACGAATGTAAAGTATTCGGAGAAGACAGTGAATATTTAACCCTTACTTTCACGAGAAGTTTGTCACTCCGTTTAAATCTAATTTTTGTCTAGACTATGGACTAGACTATAGACTAGACTAAGGACTATAGTATAGACTATAGGCTATAGACTAGACTATAGGCTAGGCTATAGACTAGACTATAAGCTAGACTATAGACTAGACTGTTGACTATGCTATAGACAAGACCATAAACCAGACTATAGATTCGACTATAGATTAGACTATAGACTAGACTATAGACTAGACTATTGACTAGACTATAGACTGGACTATTGACTAGACTATAGACTAGACTATAGACTAGACTAGACTATTGACTAGACTATAGACTAGACTATTGACTAGACTATAGACAAGACTATAGACTAGACTATAGACTAGACTATAGACTAGGCTATAGACTAGACTATAGACTTGAATGTAGACTAGACTATAGACTAGAATATAGACTAGACTGTAGACTAGACAATAGACTAGACTGTAGACTAGACAATAGACTAGACTATAGACTAGACTATAGACTAGACTATAGAGTAGACTATAGACTAGACTATAGAGTAGACTATAGACTAGACTGTAGACTAGACTATAGACTAGACTTTAGACTAGACTATAGACTAGACTATAGACTAGACTATTGACTAGACTATTGACTAGACTATAGACTAGACTATAGACTAGACTATAGACTTGACTAAAACTAACTATAGTATAGTCTAGTCTAGTCTATAGTCTAGTCTATAGTCTAGTCTATAGTCTAGTCTATAGTCTAGTCTATAGTCTAGTCTATAGTCTAGTCTATAGTCTAGTCTATAGTCTAGTCTATAGTCTAGTCTATAGTCTAGTCTATAGTCTAGTCTATAGTCTAGTCTATAGTCTAGTCTATAGTCTAGTCTATAGTCTAGTCTATAGTCTAGTCTATAGTCTAGTCTATAGTCTAGTCTATAGTCTAGTCTATAGTCTAGTCTATAGTCTAGTCTATAGTCTAGTCTATAGTCTAGTCTATAGTCTAGTCTATAGTCTAGTCTATAGTCTAGTCTATAGTCTAGTCTATAGTCTAGTCTATAGTCTAGTCTAGGTCTAGTCTATAGTTAGTCTAATAGTCTAGTCTATAAGTCTAGTCTATAGTCTAGTCTATAGTCCTAGTCTATAGTCTAGTCTATAGTCTAGTCTATAGTCTAGTCTATAGTCTAGTCTATAGTCTAGTCTATAGTGCTAGGCTATAGTCCTAAGTCTATAGTCTAGTCTATAGTCTAGTCTATAGTCTAGTCTATAGTCTATCTATAGTCTAGTCTATAGTCTAGTCTATAGTCCTAGTCTATAGTCCTAGTCTATAGTCTAGTCTATAGTCTAGTCTATAGTCTAGTCTATAGTCTAGTCTATAGTCTAGTCTATAGTCTAGTCTATGTCTAGTCCTATAGTCTAGTCTATAGTCTAGTCTATAGTCTAGTCTATAGTCTAGTCTATAGTCTAGTCTATAGTCTATCTATAGTCTAGTCTATAGTCTAGTCTATAGTCTAGTCTATAGTCTAGTCTATAGTCTAGTCTATAGTCTAGTCTATGTCTAGTCCTATAGTCTAGTCTATAGTCTAGTCTATAGTCTAGTCTATAGTCTAGTCTATAGTCTAGTCTATAGTCTAGTCTATAGTCTAGTCTATAGTCTATAGTCTAGTCTATAGTCTAGTCTATAGTCTAGTCTATAGTCTAGTCTATAGTCTAGTCTATAGTCTAGTCTATAGTCTAGTCTAGTCTAGTCTATAGTCTAGTCTATAGTCTAGTCTATAGTCTAGTCTATAGTCTAGTCTATAGTCTAGTCTATAGTCTAGTCTATAGTCTAGTCTATAGTCTAGTCTATAGTCTAGTCTATAGTCTAGTCTATAGTCTATCTATAGTCTATAGTCTAGTCTATAGTCTAGTCAATAGTCTAGTCTATAGTCTAGTCTATAGTCTAGTCTATAGTCTAGTCTATAGTCTAGTCTATAGTCTAGTCTATAGTCTAGTCTATAGTCTAGTCTATAGTCTAGTCTATAGTCTAGTCTATAGTCTAGTCTATAGTCTAGTCTATAGTCTAGTCTATAGTCTAGTCTATAGTCTAGTCTATAGTCTAGTCTATAGTCTAGTCTATAGTCTAGTCTATAGTCTAGTCTATAGTCTAGTCTATAGTCTAGTCTATAGTCTAGTCTATAGTCTAGTCTATAGTCTAGTCTATAGTCTAGTCTAGAGTCTAGTCTATAGTCTAGTCTATAGTCTAGTCTATAGTCTAGTCTATAGTCTAGTCTATAGTCTAGTCTATAGTCTAGTCTATAGTCTAGTCTATAGTCTAGTCTATAGTCTAGTCTATAGTCTAGTCTATAGTCTAGTCTATAGTCTAGTCTATAGTCTAGTCTATAGTCTAGTCTATAGTCTAGTCTATAGTCTAGTCTATAGTCTAGTCTATAGTCTAGTCTATAGTCTAGTCTATAGTCTAGTCTATAGTCTAGTCTATAGTCTAGTCTATAGTCTAGTCTAGTCTATAGTCTAGTCTATAGTCTAGTCTAGTCTATAGTCTAGTCTATAGTCTAGTCTATAGTCTAGTCTATAGTCTAGTCTATAGTCTAGTCTATAGTCTAGTCTATAGTCTAGTCTATAGTCTAGTCTATAGTCTAGTCTATAGTCTAGTCTATAGTCTAGTCTGTAGCCTAGTCTATAGTCTAGTCTATAGTCTAGTCTATAGTCTAGTCTCTAGTCTAGTCTAGTCTATAGTCCAGCCTATAGTCCAGCCTATAGACTAGTCTATAGTCTAGTCTATAGTCTAGCCTATAGTCTAGTGTATTGTCTGAATTTATAGTCTAGTCTATAGTCTAGTCTATAGTTAGTTTATAGTCTAGTCTATAGTCTAGTCTATAGTCTAGTCTATAGCCTAGTTTATAGTCTATGGGACTATAGTCTAGACTAGACTATAGACTAGACTGGTCTACAGACTAGACTATAGAGTGGACCATAATGAAAACTTACTTTGCTGTACCAAAGTCTCTGCGTATAGTTCCAATATTTTCTCTTCGTTAAAATTCACAATTTTATTGAACTCATTTTCATCCTCATAATTCCCCAGAGAAGAATTCAACCAAAATCCAGCAGGATAATAGAGTCTATAGTCTAGTCTATAGTCTAGTCTATAGTCTAGTCTATAGTCTAGTCTATAGTCTAGTCTATAGTCTAGTCTATAGTCTAGTCTATAGTCTAGTCTATAGTCTAGTCTATAGTCTAGTCTATAGTCTAGTCTATAGTCTAGTCTATAGTCTAGTCTATAGTCTAGTCTATAGTCTAGTCTATAGTCTAGTCTATAGTCTAGTATAGTCTAGTCTATAGTCTAGTCTATAGTCTAGTCTATAGTCTAGTCTATAGTCTAGTCTATAGTCTAGTCTATAGTCTAGTCTATAGTCTAGTCTATAGTCTAGTCTATAGTCTAGTCTATAGTCTAGTCTATAGTCTAGTCTATAGTCTAGTCTATAGTCTAGTCTATAGTCTAGTCTATAGTCTAGTCTATAGTCTAGTCTATAGTCTAGTCTATAGTCTAGTCTATAGTCTAGTCTAGTCTAGTCTAGTCTATAGTCTAGTCTAGTCTATAGTCTAGTCTAGTCTATAGTCTAGTCTATAGTCTAGTCTATAGTCTAGTCTATAGTCTAGTTCTAGTCTAGATCTAGTCTAGTCTATAGTCTAGTCTAGTCGATAGTCTAGTCTAGTCTAGTCTAGTCTAGTCTATAGTCTAGTCTAGTTAGTCTAGTCTATAGTCTAGTCTATAGTCTAGTCTATAGTCTAGAGTCTATAGTCTAGTCTATAGCTAGTCTATAGTCTAGTCTATAGTCTAGTCTATAGTCTAGTCTATAGTCTAGTCTATAGTCTAGTCTATAGTCTAGTCTATAGTCTAGTCTATAGTCTAGTCTATAGTCTAGTCTATAGTCTAGTCTATAGTCTATTCTATGTCTAGTCTAGTCTAGTAGTCTAGTCTAGTCTAGTAGTCTAGTCTAAGTCTAGTCTATAGTCTAGTCATAGTCTAGTCTATAGTCTAGTCTAGCCTATAGTCTAGTCTATGTCTAGTCTATAGTCTAGTCTATAGTCTAGTCTATAGTCTAGTCTATAGTCTAGTCCTATAGTCTAGTCTATAGTCTAGTCTAGGTAGTCTAGTCTATATCTAGTCTAGGCTAGTCTATAGTCTAGTCTATAGTCTAGTCTATAGTCTAGTCTATAGTCTAGTCTGTAGCCTAGTCTATAGTCTAGTCTATAGTCTAGTCTCTAGTCTAGTCTAGTCTATAGTCCAGCCTATAGTCCAGCCTATAGACTAGTCTATAGTCTAGTCTATAGTCTAGTTATAGTCTAGCCTATAGTCTAGTGTATTGTCTGAATTTACAGTCTAGTCTATAGTCTAGTCTGTAGTTAGTTTATAGTCTAGTCTATAGTCTAGTCTATAGCCTAGTTTATAGTCTATGGGACTATAGTCTAGACTAGACTATAGACTAGACTGGTCTACAGACTAGACTATAGAGTGGACCATAATGAAAACTTACTTTGCTGTACCAAAGTCTCTGCGTATAGTTCCAATATTTTCTCTTTGTTAAAATTCACAATTTTATTGAACTCATTTTCATCCTCATAATTCCCCAGAGAAGAATTCAACCAAAATCCAGCAGGATAATAGAGTTTTTTACTAAATAAATAGTAACCCATAAAATAGGAATCAATTGATTTAAGTTTGGTTCTAAAAGTTTAAGACAAATCTGTTACCAAGATCGTTTTCCACAACAACCAATTTAAAAAAACTTACTCATACTGTTGACCATTTATTATGCCCTTAACTAGATCGTTGGCTTTTAAATCGTAAACAGTTTGCAAGCGATTTATAGCTTCAGAAGCTTCTAATATATCAGTAAAAGTGGGCATTTCCGGTCTATAATGGCGTATGACAGCTAAATGGTCTACAAGAAAACAGATTTTGCAGATTTGTAAAAACTACATAACTGGATAAAAGTTATTAATTTTTCTTAGAAAAAAATACCTACCTTCACCTACAGTTTTCCTTATAAATAATTCAATTTTAGTCCAATCAGAGTACATACGCCTAATGAGAGTAAAACCATTTAAAGGGTTATATAAATATTCCTCACGTCTGTTAACAGATTTCTGATTTTCCTCTGATAGTTCTAACCAAAGAATATAAAGAAATTGGGGCTTGTCAGTTGGTACGTAAAGGAATTGTCATTCGGTACCTAACTCTAAGTATGTATTGGTAGAATTTTTGTATTAGTATTGGAGCTCCAACCACTTTCACCACACATTCCGAACAAACATACTTGCATAAAATCGTACATAAAAATTTTAGGAAAAATAAATAATATTTAAATTTCTACATTCGCAGATTTTTTACTTTATTTTGCCCACATCTGATCAGTAAACATTTAATTAATATATTTTTCGGACTTTAAATATCTTTTTTTGCAAAAAAATAAGTTTATTTTAAATAATTTTTTCATTTTCAATACCAAAATATACAACTTTGTTTTGTCAATTTTAATTTCAACACACAAAAATTAATTGTCAAAAAAATTAAAAAAATATTTTTTAGTTTGTGGAAAATAAAAATATTTCGGATTGTTAAATGCGATAAAATTGTGTAAAAAATTAAAAAATAGTTATGTGTTTGTGAAAAAACGTCGTTCAAGTCCTATTATCCCGGTATTTTCGCGAAAAAGTTTTGAAGTATTGTGAGAGAATTGAGTTCTCACAAGTGTGTTGAATTTACACAGAACTCGTCTGTGAAGAGAAGAAAATGTTATTGTTGTAAAACAATGTCATAGTCCAACTTCTTATTATTCTTTGGTTCTAACACCAAACTTTAAAATTTTAATAAACACTTAAATTTTAAATACCATATGGTTTTCATTTAATTCTCACTTTTTTAATGCATCCACTTTCCTTTGCAACTCTATGACGTACTTGGCTACACTGTCAATTAAAAGCATTTCTACTTCCAGCAGTTCACTCAGGCCACCAGCTATGGAAGTGGATAAACTTTTTTCTTTATATTTTTGACTTGTAGTTGAATGGAACACTGTTAACATAATTATTATTGTTACAAATGTAGTCATTTTACTAAAATATATGTTTAAATAAGTTTTTTAATGCTTTATATTCAAAATCAAAACTTTAATAAATTTTATATGAACTAATTCCGTTTTTAATTTAAAATCAACTGTTGTAATGTAATCGTACGCTTTTTGAAACTAAACAACTTTTACTTAACTGTAACTTTGTAACTTTCTATATTATATTTTTAGACACACATACATACATATATATCTAGGTAATGTTAACGTTGAAGGGTATTAAGGGTAAAAATATATATCTCATTGGTACTTTTTCATTAAAAAATAACGGTGAAATCAAAATTAATCGAAACCCGTAGGCATTTTCTATACCATTATTACAATATTCTGCTTTAGGGATAAAATGATTTTAAATATATGGTACTTTTGAAAAGTACCTATTTGTAATATAATTTCATAAAATCACTTAATTTGTTGAAATAAAACACGCATTCAATAATAATTTAGTTTTTTACTTGATTTAAGTTTCGATAAATATCTAGACAATAATTGAATAATTTTTCAGCGATTTACAATTAACACCCTACACAAAAATTGTACGTTTTTAATGGGGTTCACACTTTTAAATGTCCGCACACGCGTGTAAAGAGTAATCCTCAAAGGACTGGTCCAAAACTAATCCAAATATAACAAATATAACTAATCCATTTATTACATCGTTGTTATCCCAAAACTACTTCCTGGCTTAAATTATGGGAGCACATAATCCGCAACATGATATGTAAGGCTAAGGACCATGTTGTTGTAAATATGATTCATTACATAGGACTACTAAACGGATCATGTACTCCAATAATGTTTACAGAGGAGTAGTTTTTGGATTACCTAAATCATAAAATCATAAAACCTCCAATCATTTTTGCAGGGAGTTTTCTATTGGAATCTAAAATTTTCTCCTGGAAAGCACCAAAAATAACTATTTTTACCACAGATTTGTAATCTGTATGTGTAAATCCAGAATATCAATTTGTTTATTTATGATTTATTTCACTCCGGTCTTAAAATAACTAAAAAGTACAAGGCTGTTGCTATGGTAAACATCAAGAATCGATCATGAGATTAGTTTCGATGAAGGATCCATTCCCTGTAGGGTCAAATTTAATCCAGTTTTTATCTTCTATGAACTATTTTTTAAACACATATTTTCTGAAGGCCTTAAAGGAGTCTAATCTAAAGATATAGGAGTATAGTTTAAAGTATACTCTAAACGATAGTGTTTAGACTTTAGTTTCTAAACTGAACCCCAGTCTAATATTGCATTTAAACAAAACTAGAGACTAATAGGAGTCTAATCTAAGGATACAAGGGTATAGTTTAAAATATACTCTAAACGACAGTGTTTAGACTTTAGTTTCTACACTGAACCCCAGTCTAATATCGCGTTTAAAGAAAACTAGAGACTAGATCACATTAAAGAGTTTAGGTTAGAGCATAGTTCGGCGTTAAAGGTAGACTATGGTCTGGTCTTTAAGCTAGACTACAGTCCAATCTTAAAGTCAGTATTTAGGATAGACCGCAGCCTATCATTAATGCTAGACCACATTTTAGTGATTAGGCTAGATCACAGTGTAATATTTTAGATAGACCATAATCTAGCCTTTAGGATAGACCACAGAGTAATATTTAGGCTAGACCTATCATTAGTCTTTATAACAAAACACTGCCTAGTAGTTAGTATTTAGGGTAGAATTCAGTATTCATCTTTTGGCTAGACCATAGTCTGGTCTTTATGATATACCTCAGTTTAGTGTCTTGTCTTTAGAATAGAACACAGTCTGGCGTTTATGCTAGACCACGGTCTACTCATTAAGCTAGAGTAAAGTCTTGCCTTTACAGTCAAGTCTACGGTAATGATTACACTCTTGTATTTATACTTAAAAAAGAACGGTCTATTCTTTAGAATATGCTACTGTCTAGTCATTAGACCAAACCACAATCTTGTCATTAGACAACACTACAATCTAGGTGTTAGATCGGTTGTATGTCTATAGACCATATCCAAGAGCACGACCTAGTATAAAAATAGACAAAAGCATGAGACTAGAAGAAGTTATAGTCTAATCTAGTCTCTAGGCTGTAGATCTTCTATTGGGGCTTAAGTTTAGGTTAGATTGTTGAGGCAGCCTGCCAATGACTGACTCACTTGGGCCCACAACATGATGATGTTTTATCCTGTAACGGATACTGCCCCATCCCATATTTAGGATATTACATGTCCGTGATTGACATGGAATCAAACCAGCCAGAGGCAAGATTATATCATTCTATCTTATATGTATCCATACGTATTAGAGAGGGCCGCAAGTTCATGCAGTATTGAACTGCTCAGAAACTCAGTTCCGATATTTGTCAAAGCAGGACAGAGGCAGAGAAAGTGTTCTACAGTTTCGCCTTCATCCTCATTGTGACAACGCACCCATAATACAGTGCCCCATCAAACATATAGATTTTCCCTAATCATAGAGAGACCGGGCCATTCTGAGCAGAGTAATAAAGTTCATGCTGGATGGGGGATTTGTTGCATTAGACTCCGTTTTTGCTAGTTCATCCGTTTTAATGTTCCCAGGCACATTAGAGTGACCCTGTACCCAGAGCAGTTCCATTTACGAAAGGTTTGCTATCTCGTCAAGAGACGCTCAACATTAGCAAAACAAGTCTGTATGTCGTGTAGATACCAGATAACGATTTTATTGTAGGTTTACTGTTATTACAGATTCAGATATTTCTTTTGTATAACCTATAGTACCTCATCTAGTTTACCGCTCTTATATAGCTGAGATTTCAGCCAGTCAATCATTTTGTAGCTTAAAACGGTGAATGATCACCAACCTGAGGAGGCTGGGGTGCTGAAAATCTCGACTACGAATCATTTGTGTGGAAAGAGCATGGAAATGTTTTTGTGAATGTAAGTCGTATTTCCCAGAATGGAAGCATGGCCGGTTAGACTCCCAGCAGCATGGATTGTGGCCGCTGAGTTTAAGTGCTTTTTCAAAAGAAATTTTTAAATATAAACGCTAATACTTTGTTAATAACATAGTTAACGAATTATGCAATAAAAACAAATTATCGCCCATGTTTTTTATTTTCCCTGATTATTGGAAATATTAGTTATAGGAATTTATATGAAAAATAATGTGTTAGTCACGGTAAGTAGCTTAAAATTGTGTGGTTGTTGTGCAATCAGCATCGAGCTAGTTACGTAATATCTTGCAAATGTTTAAATAAAATATACTTGTGCTTTTTTTCTTTTAATAAATACTTTATTAACTATAATTACAAATTAAATTTATTACTATATATAGCACGGTCTTCTAAATATTTGAGCTTTGGAACGAATCCATTTATTGCAAACTGTAGGAAATGTGGAAAAAAACAATGAAAATTACAGACGTGTTAAAATTTTAATTATAACTTACCCCACTTGGAACCCACTATAACAGGACAGGCAGCATGTAAAGTTAAAGCATCACCCTCTACTTTATTATTGAGATTATACCACATGACCGCAGAGCCTTTACGAGGGAAAACGGCGGTTTGTATGTTGGGGAAAACAGTGGCGCCACCTTGTTCTACATCACTCAACTAAAGTTAAAGTTTGATACAAATTTTAATAAAAATTATCATTTTTATTAAATTTAAACAAATTGTTATAAAACTTACATAAAATAATACTGTTGATATACGATCACCTTCTTTAGCCACCACTGCAGTATCCTAAAATTGTTGAACATTTTTGTAAAATTTTATTATTTTAAAATTATTATTTCAGAATCCAACCTGTGTCACATTAAAGAAATCATAGTGTTTGTCGTAATGACCACCCAGACCATAATTCATTACTTGCAACATTTCCGAACCGACTATATCGAAACCGGTCATATCGATTATTCGCTGGTTTATACGTTTCGTTATTTCATCTGTATTATCTTGGAACCAAGAGAATTTGGATGTTCTTGTATTCACCACCAATGAACGTGCCTTTTCATCATTATAAACTGTTGCACGCTTTAAATTCGGTCTAGCTAAATTTTTCAAATGTTCGATTTCTTGATCGGATATCACATCGTGGAAGAGCACCATATAGGGTTCTAAGTGTATAATTTCCATTTTAATCGGTGCCAATCGTAAGAATGCCGAAGCGGTTGTATTGTAGATGCAATACATTTTAGACGTTTGGTTGGAGAAATGTCCACGACAGCCACGTTCATAATTATAGACTACTGGAGGAGGGTACTAAGTGGATTGAAAAGGAGGTATAAGATAGTAAAAGAAATTTTTGTTATAAAAGTTAAATGTAAACATTTTTGGTCGGATATATACAAGTTCACATCATTTATGTCATGATTACTTGACCACTAATCCAACAAATCGATATTAAAAATAATTTAAGAATCTCTAAGCCCTACATACATGTATCGCTGGTCCATCGTTAGTATTGGCTAATAGTTGAATTTCATTTTTGCGGTTCAATAAACGAGCATCAGTTGGCAGTAAATCCGAAGCCTGGCTAATAGAACTTAAAGCATCTTTGGGACGATCTATAAAATCGGTTTAATATTTTTTTCAAACTTTTCATATTTCCAAAATATTCAAAAATTACTTTGTTTTACTAAGATATCGGCATACAATTCCAAGGGTTTCTCTTTGCCAAAGTCTACTATGCTATTAAAATTATTTATCTCCTCATAATTTATAATGGAATTATATAGCCAAAATCCAGCCGGATAATACATATTTTTACTAAACAAATAGTAACCCATAAAATAGGAATCAATGGATTTTAATGAAGCGCTAAAAGGATTAAATAAAGTATTTTATTATTAAATAATTATATTAAAATAGATCGAGACTTACTTATATTGTTTGCCATTTAATATACCCTTCACCATATCGGCTGGCTTTAAATCATAAACAGTTTGCAGCCGATTTAAGGCTTCTGATGCTTCTGCTAAATCTGTGGCCGTAGGCATTTCAGGTCTGTAGTTACGTATGACGTCCAGATAAACTTTATAGAAAATGGTTTCGATTAAAGTTTAGAATTAATCGGAGGAGAAAATATATTCATTGTGACCGAAACGAATTGTTTTATTTTTGAAAAAATATTTTTAACATATTATTCAGTTCCATTAAACTAGTACCCTAATAATTTATAACTGGTGTTAAAGAAGTAATTCCCAGATAACTCCTTTAAAGTACTTTAGAATCACTATTAAGTTTTAGGGAACGAGTTATAGTAGTAATGTCGGCATCATTAGTTTTAGGGAAGCTACTCAAAAATATTACTACTCTGGCCTTCGGGGAAACACCTCTAATAGTATTTCCAACTAGGGATGATTGGCTTGTGCCTGATAGACTATTTGGTGGGTGTGCAGTTTTCAGTGACGGGTCCAAGATGGATTATTTTGCAGATATCAACATAAACGATCCTTCAGACTCCCTGACGAATGTAGTGTCTTTCAAGCAGAGATCCTAGCGATCTGGAAACTGACGGAACTGATACAGAGTCAAATCAATCCGGGGGCAGTTGTGACAATTTATTTTGATAGGCAAGCTGCTCCTAGTGTATTGGCTGGTCGCACGGTACATTCGCAACTGGTTTGTAGATTGTAGAAATGCTTTAGGGACATTATGAGACTGTTTGCCATAAGACTGTGTTGGGTGCCTATGTTAGGTTCGAACTTCGAACCTTGATATATATGACAGGGAAATGGTGGTAAAACACCCACTTGTCACTATTATAGGCTGATATTCGAAAGAATCCGTGACACATAAACCAATCCTGGAATAGTAGACTGGATTGTAAAGTATCAAAGGCCATCTTACAAACACTTGATAGGGGGGCTACCAAAATACTAATTGGACTGGATATTGCAGTCTAAGGATTCTGATTGGGATACTAGCGGGGCATTGCTTAGTTAGGGCATTTGTCAGTAAGTGGGGCAGTAATATACCGGACTATTGCAGGTTATGCGAAGATGAGGAGGAAATAGAGACGATCGAGTATATAATTTGCCACTGTCCTAGGATACCAAATCTCAAGCTGAAATGGCTAGGGAATAGGTTGCATAACGAAATGCGAGATAGTGTGGGTCTTAACCGTAGCAGTCTACTAGGTTTTTCAAGGCAGTTAGTTATTTCTTTTACTGGGCTTTATAGGGGGACATAGATTTTCTCTCTCATCTTTTTATTCTTTAGGGTAAATCTTCTGGGTTGTATTCCCTTGGAATGGACCTGTTTTCAAAATACTAATGGGACTGGATAAATGCAGTCTAAGCATTTTGATAGGGATGCTAAATGGGGCAGTAATATACAGGACTATTGCCCTAAAGAATAAAGAGATTATTCTTTAGGGTAAATCTTCTGGGTTGTATTCCCTTGGAATAGACCTATTTTCCTTTCATCTATCCTATTTTACCTATCTTCTTCTTCCATTCGTTCTTGTTTTATTACAGTGTTTTTGTTTCTATGTCTTTGAATCTTCACTCTTTGACGGGAATCACAATAGACCTCATGGTGCCCGAGTGGATATGCAACTTTTTTATGGCGCATAACTATTCAAAACCTAAACCATTCAAGGATCTGAAGAGGTTCAGTTGGCACTCACTATAGAACAGAATCTTTCGGGTTTAAAACAGATTAATTTGTCCACTGAAGTTGTTAATGATATTTACATCTGTTAGTTTTAAACTATATAGTAGTGGAACTAAGTAATTTTCCATTTGCTTTAACTACTCTGAACAGAATAGGTTTAACATAACAAAATTTTTCTAAAACAATATCGCCACCACAAATGAATAATTTTCTCACTATTCGAATATATATTTACCTTCACCCACCGGTTTGCTCATAAACAATTCGATTTTAGGCCAATCATTGTACATACGTCGTATAAGAGCAAAACCATTTAGAGGATTGAATAGATATTCCTCGCGTTTATTTAGAGATTTTTGATTTTCAGCTTTTAATTCTTGTGCTAAACTTTAAAATTAAGAACAATTTAAGGATTTTTTAAACACCAACACTTATAAAATTTTCTCACTTTTTTAAAGCATTCACTTTCTTTTGTAATTCTTCAGCATATTTTTCAACACTATCGATTAACTGCTCTTCCGTTTCCAGCAGCTGTACCATACCGGATATGGAAGTGGATAAACTCTTTTCATTATCACTTTCGCTTGCAACTAAATGCAATAATTTT